AATAATACAGAAGGTGAAAAAATGCATATTAAACTACAATCTTGCTAAATAAATAAATTGCAATTAGATTTTCCCAAATCGTTTGCAGACAGTTTTCAAACTTGCTCTTACCATTTACCTTGAAATGATAAAATATTGACAAATGCCAAATGTTTCCTTTCAGTGGTTAAAAATAACTGTGACATTTGTCTACGGTATTTGCTCTTTGTTTTGTATTTTTCTAGTGTCTAATATCCAGTGTCAGGTTTACAACTTCTCTCTACAAAAGTGTGTCTCATACATCAACTAACAGATATGCACTTGTATAAACAGAGCGTGCACAAAATACAGACGTACACAAGCACACGCATTCACAAACATGACACAGCCTGAAGCAGCAGAACTGCACAATTACATAAAGCACAAGGAGATTATCCCGACACACACAGACATAATTGTGTGTGCACACAATAAAATGTGCACAAATAAACATACACTAAAAAAGAAAAAAAACATGCAGAACAGCATGACTACATGAACTAAGTAGTGGTACTGGCAGCTGAGAGTCACAGGCTCCACACTAGAAGGGCCAGTTAAATTAACTCTGAATCTAAGAGCTCTTTTAACAGTGGAGTGATTCAGGGGCCAAGTCAGACAAGTCATCTACTGAACAAGGTACACATGAGGACAACCATTTTATCAGCAGTTATCTCATTCAGATCTGTAGTAAGACTGGTCCTTTGTGAGGTAGCACAAGGGACCACATGACGTTTGGTTAGTGAGATTTGGAATGACGCACAGCAGGTCCTTTTTAACATCTAAAGAAACCATGCACATGCCATAAATACATGACATACACGTCTTCTTAGCATACATAAGTACCGCAAAGCTTATGCTCTGATCCAGGCAGAGACTAGTACTGAACAGTCAAAATAACTGAACATTCAGATCTAAAAGTATATATTCACATCAGAAAGTATAAGTCCATGTATCAAATACATGACTTACAAGCTCGTATCTATGCAAAACCAATACGCCTACTGTACAGTACTGCAGTTAAAGCCAATGACTCACCATACAAATGAACTTAAAAACTAAACATGAAGGAATTCTCACAAGCATCTAGCAGACCTTCTGCATGGCCTGGTTCACACACACCACCAACAGGTGACCGAAAAAAAAAACAAGAAATGCAAAGCTGAGGAAATTCCTCATTATGTAAAGCCCTGCAGGCCCTGTGATCCATAAGGCTGTGCTGACAGGACACAACAACAGAAAAGCTTCAGCATCCAGCCAAACAAGATACAGCGCTATACATAGGAGCATACATATACTCAGCAACAGTAACAATAACACAGCAAGAAATTAAATCCATTTAACCATAAAGAAAGAAAACAGCAAGCAAGGGCGCAGCCACACACAGAGGATGTATTTGACTCATATATATTGTAATGACCCCCGGCGTGGAGGAGAGAGACTACCTATACTTTGAGCAGCTAAACTAGCCAGCAGGGCGCTAGCACCTATGCTGTCAATTAGTGCCTACTCCAGGTCCCATACACCGCACGACTCTGGGTAGCACTTGGGCGTGTCCTTCATAATGACTACCATGCAACTCTGTCTTTCTGGTCATTTATTTAGAACACAGAACCGCACCACACATCACATTCCCAACAGGGTCAGTTTTACACATACAACTTAGACTTATGGTTCAGAACACAGCACACAACTAGCTAGCAAAACACATAGCAGTACAACTCATTAAGATAACACACAACAGGGTAACACATCAGAACACAATAAAACACTTTACGACTGTTCCCCGAACTAGTCGCTGAACTCCCATGATGCCCCCCATGCATCATGTCGCTGCCACCAGACCCCTCCCCAATAGCCGACGTAGGTCGCCACAATATATATAAACCATGTATGCATGTATATACAGTATATATAAAGAAATAAATTCAACTGTTATGAATTTCAAGCAATTTTCTAAATGTAAAGTTGGCATTTTAACATTTATGAAACACGTTTTTTCTCCCATAATAAAACATTTTTAACTATTGCTGCTACCTATGTTCACTGTAATATCTAGGGAAACTGGGAAGTTTAAGAAGAGAAGAATTAGGCTAAACTCAGGTTACATAAGCTGACACAAAACGGCTTTGTTTAATACTACGGATTGGCTAGATAAAATCCTATCCTAGTTTTAGGCAAGACAATACGCATAAATTACCTTATGACTGGAGTGACGTGTGTGTGTCGTCCACTCCAGAGCTGCTGGAAACACCCGCTCAGTTGGTGGCCTTCTTGACGCACAAACACCGCTGCGCACTTTGTCAGTCCGGGAATTCTTTCAGGATTTATTGCCACCGAGCGGCCATCTCGTCACTTTGGTGTTCATTTCGTTGGAGACATGTTTCGTTGAAGAAATACGTGTCCTGAAAGCCAGCAGCACGGCGGTGTTCTCCGCTGCGTGGCCCTTCTCCCGCGGTGTGCGTTAACCGAGCCGCCCTGGCTTCCCACACCGGAGGGCCGCCACAACACAACTGGGTCAAATAGGAGGTGCGTTTGTTGTACAGTTTGAGCGTCCCGGTCAGCAAACACACATGTCAAACTCCATGTTATTAAACAGTACAGGCGGGTGGCCTACTATATCAAACTACTGCACCTCATGTCCTCCTGTGGGACACTGTGAGTTAATTCTATTTGTAGTCGATTTAATTAGTAAATGGAGATAATGCAATTATCTGAGGTTCGGGAACGGGGCCTGACTCAAACTACACGTCTTCCATCTTCACACTATTTAAATCCAGTGAAACCATCATACTTCCGCTTCTGCTTTTCCTTACTTCCTCCCCCATTACTCAAGTCACAATTATTTTTCTTGAATGGCTGGTGCATGAATGAAACGTGCTATGTGATCCTCCCTTGCTTAGCCCACTGAAACACCTGCTGGTAAAGGTAAAAAATGTAGAGACATTAATCTTTGTGAAAGTATTTATTTGAACATACATTAAGAACGTTGTTTGATTGAACGTTAATTTGATTGTCAAGCAGCCCTAGTTTGATTTGTGCAATTTAAACTGTCACTGCAAGTTATTCTATCAACAACTCATTTATTAAAAGACACAATCTAATAATTTTTTGTAACTTATAAGGCCCCATAACTTATCACTGGTCCAACTACTTCAGAATTGTATTGTGCAGTGGATGGCTGGAGGTCCCACACCTGTCTCCATAGACACAGACATCTTCCAACACACTTTCCCTTCCTGTCTTAGGTTCATTTGTAAAATGTGTATAAAACAGACTTCATTTGGACTGTGTGACAAGAGCATCAAAATTATGTCATATTCATTAAATTCAGAATGAACAGTCCAAAATGTGGACTATATTAACATGTGTGTAATTAGAATGATTTCTTAAATTTAAATCACTCAAAGCCTAATACCCAGAATCTCTTGTGATATAAACTGAACTGGACTATTACTCTAGCTTGTCCATTGTTCCCCATGTATATAATTTTACTTGGTATATCACTGATTGGTGGCATTGTGCTGCAGTGCACGCAGGATTGGCTCCAGCCCCCAACAGTCATTTTATAGATTTGATGTTAAATTAATTATGTTTTCATTTTGGGTTACACATGAAAGCATCGCATACTGTACCACTGAAACATGCAGACAAAAACACAAAGCACATGGTCTGCAGACTTCATTTTGTAGCAGTAAATTAAAGATGGTGACAACAAAACAACAGCAAAGCCACCGAAATATGATGGCAGATGTTTTTAAGGCAGATATAATATTGATGTGGTCCAGTATATACAGTATATAGCTGGGTCCATGTAGTGATTATTCAAGAGCAGAATATATTAGTGTATAACTGTTTGAGCTAAATACGAGTGTGTCTGTATTTTGTGTCAGTGTTTTAACTGTGCATTTTTTGGGTCCTTTTATTGTTTTGCATCAACCTTGTCTCAGCCTGGTGATTAACAAAACATGCATGGTATAGGTAGGGCTGTGTGGTACCATGTATAAATGTGTGTGTATCAGAAGCTAGTGGCTTTAAATCTAGGTCATCAGCAAGAGAGAGGTATAGTATAAAAACAGCAAGAGAGAAAACAGTGAAACAGCAAAGACTGAGGTAATCACATGATGATCTTAGAGAAAATGCCATTTAAGAGGGAGAAAATGTTTATGTAAGTGAGACCAGATCACTTCCAGTACCTGCTTTGGGAAGCAGCAGTATTACAGAAGGTGTGGCGACTGTAATTACAACCTGTGCAACTCTATGAATTTTTCTCTAGCTCATTTTTTTAGAGTCCAGAGAAAATTCCAGTCAGTTGCCACAATACAGGGTTATTCAAAAAGAATGAACCGATTTCATTGCGCAATATTTTATTAAGGAAAAGTAATACAAAACTCCAGCCAAGTCACAAGTATTCTACTCACAATCAACTTTTATTTCCTGTCTTACAAATGTTCAATGTGGCCACCACCTGCAGCACGGGCAACATCAATGCGATAAGAGAATTCCTCCCAGGCGCGTATTAGCATATCACGATCCACTGAGTTGATCACTGTTGTTATTCGATGTTTAAGGTCATCGAGGTTAGTGGGTAGCGGTGGAACATAAACTTAGATAACTCCTCTTTCAAATGGTCACTGACTCATTCCATGACAATGCTTGAGAACTGAAGCAATGCGTAATGAAATCAGTTCATTCTTTTTGAATAACCCTGTATATTAACAGTGCAAAAGTAGCATGTCGACCTCTGGTTACATCAGCTGAAACCATATTCATCTTAATTAACCGCTTTAAAGATACAACATTACTGTAAAGATATACTGTCATTATCATGTAACCTTCCACATTCTGTCAATGTTGTAGACAGCAGTAAACGAGCCATTTTTAGAGCAGATGTTTGGACTTGTCATCATAGAGGTGCAGAGGTGTTACTAACAACAACAATCTGTAATGTGCACGTGACTGTTTGTGAGGAGATGGCATGTTGGTCTTAAGATCTTCAATTAATATTGATCTAGTGTGTTGAGTTTTTACGCTTCTTCTCAGTGTTTTCTCAGTTTTTCTATTTTAACTTTAAAACAAGTCATTTGTAAAACATAAATTCAAGTACTGTAACTTCTGTGAACAAGAAAATCCCTAAATTTCCTCCGACGTCACTGTTACATTGATGTTCAAGTTCCGCATAGGTCACAGTAAACATGTGATTTTAAAAAAGTGTTGTTGATTGTTCATAAATAAGGAGGAATCTAATAAAAACTACCACATAGTTGACAAGTCAGTGCCACCACCATACAGTATACAGTACTACAATCTCTTACGATATTTTCTCCTTTGGTCAGGGGTGACCGCCTCACCTACACAAGGCTGAGAATAACATGATTCAATTTTAAAATAAAGTAGTGTCCCACTGAGAGCATTATTCTAACAACTCTATTATAAAACATTGTTTTGTTTGTGATTTATTTTTAACCTTCTGTCTACTTTTTATTCACTTATTCTCACACAAGGCTGTTGTGACTCCAGCCTCAGTGGAATCCTCTTGTTAAATAAGAATATTTTAAAAGAGAGAGAAGCATCTATTTTCTGTATAATGCATAAAGTAAATGCATTTTATGGTGTTTTTGCTGTGGATTGTTTTAACTGGCTGTCCATATCATGGTACTCTTTTTAGTACCACAGGATGCATGAGATGCAGCCAAATACACCCCCACACACGTGCACAAACACATGCATCACCGTGACCCTGGAATCTGCTTCATTAGAGCTATCATGAGGCGTAATCACAGCATGCATTGGTGTATGTTGTGTGTCAGCCCCAAGGGGTCCATTAAACCAGTGATATTATTGCTTGGTGTATAGAAGCTGTCTTCACAAGTTTGTTGAGTTGGAACACACACTTCAGAGCTGTAACACACATGCACGCATTGCTTGATCAGCAGTTAAAGCTAGAATTGCTTAGAATAACAATGTGAGCAAAGAGGATGCAATGACAGAATGTGCAAATTCAATAATGCGTTAACTGGATGCCAGAAGTGGAACAGCATTGCGGCGATATATTTCTATGGCTCAGCAGCTGTGTTTATGCACATAAGGAATCTCATTATTCACTCAGAAACCTCATTTGACCGAGCGCATGGGATGTTTATTAGAATACCTTCAGTAAGCTAAGGGTTCGACTGACTTTCATGGTGTTTTTGCCTTCCAGACAAAGAGGATGGAAGTGGGTACAATGTGTCAGCGAAACACAGCTGTGAACCCTACTTAACACTGGGGTAATTTTTTTTTTCCTTGTATTGGAAGCAACCTGTTAATACTAATTTAAACAGAGAAGGGGAAGATAGTGGTTGCACCTTTTTTGTGTGGGTGTTACACCACAGGTGCACTGAGTTTATTGGTTTACAGCAGTAATCAGTCGCAAGTTATGATTGTTTGTTTTGGATAGACTGACATGAACTTAGCTGCGTGGATTATCCTGTTTGTGTTTGCAGCTGTCTACATTCACATCACACAGGCACAAAATACAGTAGATTGTTATCACTGACAGCCAGTTAGTGGAGATGAAATCAGTAGGAGTACCAGCGGGGGGGTTTGACCCAAAATAGCCAGAATGTAAATGCACGCTAATAAAAGCAGTGGACTCATTTCAGCATAATTTAGCATGCTACCATAACTCGGTGTTTCTCTGTATATTTAGTTGTGTTCATTTCTCACAAACAGAGACCAGTGTGATCCCATGATGCTCGCTCTGGTACTGGCCTTTCACTGAGTAATTACTGGCAAAGTGCATGGGTGTATATGGGTGATACCAAACACTCAACTCAGTCCAAAGTTTCTACTTTTTTTTGTTTTATTTATAATGTTTTACTGACAACTCTACAGAAACCAGGTCACCAAGCTTTGCTATTTCTTAATAGAGGGAGGAATACATGGTGAGCAGATGAGTTATGTCCAGTCAAACCAGCTTCTCTCACCCCCTTTAAAGGGCAACGCAGAAACCCAACTGATGTCACTGATGTCAGGACAAGTAAATATATGAGAGGAAAGATTCTTTCCC